GCAGTGGGGGTGGGGAGGGTTCAGGTTTGAGCCTCAGCAGTTTTCTGTTTGGTGACCTAGGCGATGGGGGGGACAGTGGGTGTGTCCTGTAGTGGGTGGCACCATTGTGATTCTGTGCAGAGGGGGATCTCTGAAAACTTAAGGATTAGAGTTGAAGAATTATGAACAAATAGCAATAATTATTTCAAGTAGATACATTTATATACACAACTAACCAAGATACAACCTCTCAACACCAAGTAGGTATTCCGCTTTTTGACTATCCCCTTTCTTTCTCTCCCTGTCTTTTTCTTCTACTTGTGTTTTTTTCTCTTTTCTTGAGGGAAAGGTATATGGTGATCAATACTGTGTGTTTTGGAGCCTAAGACTGGTTAGAATCCTACCTTTAAACCCCTAGTTACTAGTTATAAAATTTCTGGGAAGTTACTAGAGTTTCCTCAACTGTAAAAGGTGTGTCCACCCTACACAGTTGTTGTAAAGACTGAAATTAGATGAACACAATAAAAAGTAGTTTTTACAAAAAAAAAAAAAAGTAGTTTTTATATTTATAGTCTCTCTGCCACTCTGATGTCCTTTTCACACAGGGTCTTCTTTTCTTATAGTGTGTAGGTCAGATGAAAATTACACACTCATTCATACATACACATGGACACACGTGTTTAGAATATTTAGAATTTGATTACTTATTGAATAAGGTATTATCTTTTTGCATTTAAAATTTCTTTAAGTGCCTTGAAGCATTAAGTCTACCAGCTTTTGCTGAGGGGTTCTCTCTGTGTTGGAGTATGCTTTCAGTGCTCTGGTAGAAAATTTACAACTCTGCCTTAGTCTTCACTTCCTGCCTGCATAAACCCTTATAGGCAGTCAGAGGTGAGAGATTAGGGCCTTCTCAGATCTTTTCTGGGCATGACCATGCTTGCCAATATGGTTTGGATGTTTGTCCCCTCTAAATCTAATGTTGAAATTTGATCCCCAATGTTGGAGGTAGGGCCTAGTGGGAGGTGTTTGGGTCATGGGGGCAGATCCCTCATGAATGGCTTGGCATCCTCCCCACAGTAATGAGTAAGTTCTTGCTTTTGTAGTTCACTTGAGAGCTGGTTATTTAACAGAGTGTGGGAACCCCCTTCTCTCTCTCTTGCTCCCTCTTGTGCCATGTGACATGCCTGCCCCCCCTTTACCTTCTGCTGTGATTATAAGTTTCCAGAATGCCCTTATTAGAAGCAGACTCTGGCACCATACTTCTTGTACAGTCTGCAGAACCCTGAGCCAAGTCAGTCTCTTTTCTTTATAAATT